CAAACACGCATTTATTTGGTTTGATTCAAGTAAACAAAGGTCCGAACATCACATGACCGAAGTATTATGCAGTCACGTGACGTAATCGGTATGAAATAGCCCCTGAAAGATGGTGTTCGGAGACTTTTGGCGGGGGTCTGTATATATGTTAAAAGATAGTTAATACTTTTATACTTCCTGTATGTATTCAAGTCCTTCTTATATTAAACAATTCAAATAAAAATACTACTACCACTAAATTTAACTGTTAGCTTATTATGTTGATTATTTAATTATTCACCTGTTCATTTCCAATAAAATTCTTTTCTATTTGAACTGATTAATTTAAAATTTGATTCATCTATTCAAATAATTTTACAAATCTTCAATAATCCAGTCTTCATATTTTTTGGCAAAATCTAATTGCAATTTACATGGATCTTTTGAAAGCAAAGGTTTTTTTTCTTAATTCTATTAATTATAGCTAACAATCATTTCGTTTTAATGCCTGAAGTAAGTTGCTGGACGAAACCTAGAGGTTGCAAGTCGTCTAAATGGAAAAAGGTAAAATTTATATTAAAACCTTATTAAAAAATCTGCGAAATTCTAAAAAAGGTAAAACTATATCAAAGCTTATAAAAATGCGAAACTATATCAAAACCTTAGGCGAAACTATAGTTTAGACGTTTTGCCAAATCCAAAATGAGTTTAGACAAGCAACCTTAGCCTGAAGTATAGTACTATATTATTATCAATTTTTAACTTTTTTGGACATAAACAGTGGTTGAACATTTGCCTCATAATTTTTTCAAATTCATGTCTTTCTGCTTAGTTAACTTACGCAGATGACACCGAAGTAAAGTTTCTTTAATCTGCAGCTTTTTTCTCAATAGTTAATTTAGTATTAGACAAATAGTGAAAGTATTTTTTATTAGTCTTATATATATAAAACTTGAACAAAAACAACAAAAGCAAAAATATATAAAAATTCGTCAACATTGTTTCGCGAAAATCATAAGTTACATCAAAAAATCAACAATAACAGTTTATGAAAATAATGTATCATCAACAATTAAACGAATTCTTACAAAATTATAGGTTAAATTACATCGTAGTGCAAATTTTATAACCGGCTACGGTATATTAAAGAAGATAGGTGCAGACTATGCCACCAGAGTATATGGCATAGGAATGATTCTCATTATCAATACTTGCGAAAATTAGCTTTCAGACAATAAATAGGCTGAGTTTTAGCAGTAGAGCATTATGGAATAATGAATGACTTGCCTGATACCTCTTGCAAATGTTCAAAAGTAAAGATAGAGTGTGCAATTAATTAATCACTTTTTTAAACGGGTTGTAATCATTCCACTTACGTTTTCAACTTCATTGCTATAATATATGTTAATAGGGCTCACTTTCATAATAATTATATTGAATTACGAGAAGGTAATCGTACTGTGCCACAACAAATTGGGCTTGGTGTTAATTGTGTTAATTTAAATTTTTAAAGGTTTCTGCATTAAATATTATGGATTTATCAATCATTGAATGAGAACACCCGGTTCTAAATTAATTTGACTAATTCAACCAGACACCGGTGATAAATAAATAAAATCTATTTTTAGAAGTGGGATCGATTGAATTGGGATGTCAATTGGTATTTCTAAGCCACTATGGTACATTTCACCTATACTCAAAAATAAAATCACGTAATTAAATTTGTAAAAATTTTTTAAATATATAATTT